AAAAAAATATATATCTATATGTATATACATATTTAAAACATAGGAAATGCACATAGATGTTCACAATGTTTTCTTCATTTATACTTCAAGTTTTAACAAGTGTTAAAACTTCCACAATCAGAAATTATAAATATATCACAATTAACTTTTTCCAAAAGTTGGAAAGAAAAAATATATTTATTCTTACAATTTATTTATTCTTACATTTATTCTTACAAAGCAGTTTTGTAAGTCTCTTGGTGTATATGACTGTGAGTATGTTATCAACACCTCTGTCACAATATGCAGTGCCTCTTTTGGGAGGCGAAATTCTTCTCCATTCTGGACACCAACAATCAATCATGGTTGCTCTTGTCCTGAGCAAATGGTTTGATTTTATCTGATGGACTCTATGAATCTCCATATAAATCAGAAAGCTTAGAGATAACCTCAGTCCACCTCTGTAAACAAAGGTAGGGATCTAAGTGACATGTGATCGGCTGATTGATTGATATTTTTGGTGGTTCTGGGGATTCAACCTAGGGTCACCTGTGGGCTAAGCATGTGTTCTACGACTGAGCTACAGCCTCAGTCCTGTTACATTTTAAAACTTATCGTCTTGTATTTTGGGTATTCTGATAAGTCAGCTTTAAGTTTTTAGAGGAAAGACATGAGATATATGTAAAGATATGTATATATGTATATATATATGTATATATATATATATACATATATATATATGAGGCCTTGAAGCAATGAAAAAATTTCCCAGCAAGTAAGAACGACAAAAAAGGGTGTATGCTAGGTCTGTAGAAGAATTCACTCCTTAAACAGCTGGGAAGAATAGGTCAATCATTCACTTAACTAACTTTTGCTAAGTGCCTACTGGTTTCCAGACACTGTTGCAGCAGATATGGATGGCAAGAACGTGACACAATTCCATTATGGGCTCAATTTTATCCCCATTTCAAATTCATATGTTGAAATCCTAACCCCCAGGACTTCAGAATGTGACTGTATTTGGAAATAGCATCCCTCCAGAGGTATTGAAGTTACAGTGGGGTCATGAGGGCGGCCTCTAATCCAAAAGGACTGATGCCCTTATCGAAAGGGGACATCTGGACACAGAAAATGCATACAGAGAGGACAATGCAAAGATACAAGGAGAAGACGGCCAGGTGCAAGCCAAGGACCGAGGCCTGTGAGGGAACCAAGCCTGACACCTGGATCTCAGGCTCTCGCCTTCAGAACTTCAATTCATCTCTGTTGTTCAAGTCACCTAGCCTTTGGAACTCTGCTGTGGCAGCCTGAGCAGAGTAACAAACCTGTCATCAAAGGATTAAGGGGCGAATAAGCAAACAAACAAATATATCATTGCGAATTGAGCAGTGTCCAGCCGAGGCACTGGGAAAGGCTGCCCTGGGGAAGCATGTTAAGCTAGGGGGAGAATTTCAAAGGGAGGGGCTGCCTGCGCCCAGGACAGGGAGGGTAAGGGCGCTGGGTCTAGAAACCAAGAGTCAAGCGAAGCTGGACACATCCTATGAGAGCCACTGGTGACAGACTACAAGATTGGGAAACCTTGCTTTCAGAATTTATTCTTCATTTTGGTAAGGGTGTGGTTGGTAACATTCATTCTCTGCACAACTTTCCCAACTGTTTCCCACTTCCTGAGAGCTCCTACTCTTCCTGGTCCCTCCAAAACTTCGGTCATTGCCAGATCTTGATGAAATGTGAAGGTGTGGTGGCCTCCAAGTTAGTTCTTAGTGTAAGAAAGCAGGCAGAAAGTCCGTGGCCCCTCGGTGGTGTGTGGATGGAGGTTTGCACCTGGGAGAGTCTTTTAATAAAATAGTCATCCTTTGGGGCTGGAAATGTACCTGTGTTCCTTTCCTTGTCACTGTGACAAAATATCTGGGTAAGCAACTAGATGGGGGGATGGTTTATTTTGGCTCAAAGGTTTGGATCATGGTTGGTTGGCTCCACTGCTTTTAGGCCTGTGCTGAGGCTGAAGCATCTAGCAGAGAGGACACGGTGGGAAGGCTGTTCACCTGACAGCCAGGAAGCTAAGAGAAAAAGAGAGAGAGACAGATAGAGAGAGAGAGAGAGAGAGAACCAGCGCTGGGGGCCTCCTCCTTCTGCTTCTCTTTCCTCCCAGTCTCCACCCTATTGGATGCTGCTGCGCACAAGCAGGATGGGTCCTCCCCTTCAGTTGCTGCCCCACATGCCAATCATCTCTGGAAACAGACACACCCAGAAGAGTGCTTTAATAATTTCCTATGCGTCTCTCACTCCAGATCAAGTTGACAATCAAAATGAACCATCCCAGTCAGTCAGTGGTAGAGACCTTTCCTTGCATGTGTGAGACCCTGGGTTTGATTCTCCAGCACTAGATAAAGAAAAGTCATCTATTAATCAATGGGGCCCATACATTCAATTACACACGTCCCCCTTTTGTCACTGAGGGCTCACCGCACCTCGTTTTGCTCTGGGTGCTGTCTCTCGATCACCCCATGGAGCTGTTACCCAACTCTGGGGCAGGCAGACTCCTGGCTCTAACAATGTCCTCTGACTCAGAGAAGGGCTTTATTCCTATCAGCAAGTCCTCCAGATGCTTATTTGGTTAGCAACAAATGTCCACCGTGCAGTTACTTCAAAATGGATGTTAAGGGGCCAGGGATACAGCTCAGTGACTCAGTACCTGCTGGCAAGTGTGAGGTCCTGAGTTCGATTCCTAGTACCAAAAAAAACGGATGTTATTAAAGTTTCTCTTAGATATCAAACTGACCATTCAGCAAGTAAATTAAAATAGATTGGCTTCTTTAAAACCATACATGTTTATAACATCTGATCTTCAGCAACTTTCTGTATTTGCTTTAGAAATGATACAAAGATCAGACTTAAGTGGTTTTAAGATATTCATTCCAATTAAACTAACGCTCAAACTGCTTTGAAGGCAACAATATGCAATAGAACAACCATTGGTGAATTCCTACCATCTTATCTAGTGAAACTCTGCATTGTCTCTAATGTTTTATTTAATAATTATTTTTTATTCCCTTTAATGGTTTGAACAATCTTCCATTCTTACATCTGGTAATCTGAGCAATGTAGTTGAACATAACAATATGTAATACAACAACCACTGTTAATTCCTGTCATTCTGTTTTGAAACCCTGTATCACTTTCAATGTTCTTGCTTTGTTTTGTTTCTATTTATGATGTTGATATGTTGCTATTATTCTTTTTTTTTGTTACTGTCTTTAAAATTTAAAAAAAAATTAAAAAAATAAACTAACACTCATTTTTAAAATGATATTTAAAACAAAAGTCAAGCGTGGTGGTGCATGTCTGTAATCCCAGTACTCAGGAGACTGAGGCAGGAGGATCACTGTGAGTTCAAGGCCAGCCTGGGCTACATAGTGAATTCAAGGCCAGCCTCAACTACGTAGTGAGATCTTGTCTCAAAAAAAAAAAAATCTAGGACAAATTCTTTTCTTTCAAATAAGTTCAACAGAAAGAAATTTTTTTAGAAAGAAATAAAACAGATCTAAGAATATTATGAATATACTATGCAATTTAAAACATAATACTATTACTCGATTCTCTCCTAACCCTTCTGTTCTCTTCTACTATAGACATGGCTTTGATAGTACATCTAGAATATCAATAAATAAATAATGGCTGAGCACAGCTGATAGAACTTCTAATTATAATCTTAGACTAAAGCAAGTTTGGGCTGGGGATGTAGCCTAGTTTTTGCCTAGCATGTGTGAGGTCCCAACCTGAACCCCTAGCACAGCTAAAGAGAAGAAGTAAAGTTGATTTTGAACATACTCTCTTGCTTATTTTATAATAGGATGCTGATATTAGCATAGCTTACTTTTCATTTTCTTTCTTGTTAAGATCAAATAGGCTCCCACCCCCAGGACTGTAGTTAGGGTAGAGCTCCAGGGGCCAAGACCCATGGGAAGTAGACATGTTCCCTGGATGTTTTCAGGGTCACTGACTGTTTTGCACGACTCCAGCATGCCTTACCTTTTTCTGCCCACTCTTACACCTCCATTGTACTATACGTCAGCTCTGTTGAGAAATCAATAAACTTTGAAATATGTAGAGATGGTAGTGGATGCCCTCCCAACACCAAATCCATGGGAACTTTCTAACTAACACAGTAGCTTTTTCTGAGTTACTATTTGCTTTTACTTCCCTATAGCTTTTTTCCCCCAGTACTGGGGATTGAACCTAGGGCCTTTGCACTGGTTGCCCAGTTGGGCTTGAACATGTAATCTTCCTGCCTCAGCCTCTCAGAGTGCTAGGATTTCAGGGATGTACACAGCTTCCCTATAACATTCAATACAGTTGCCCATGTCTTCCTTCATGACCCTTCCTCCTCCAGCTTCTGTAACACTACGTTACTGTAGCCATCCTGCTATAATTGTGAGAGTTCCCTCCATAGCTACAACTTGTGTATTTCCATCTCTGTAGTTCAGTGTGGAATTCACTGGATGTTTCTTTCCACCAATTTATAAAATACAAATCAATCATTGTCCTCGTCTCTTTGAAAATGCCTGAAGCTATTCATTGCATATTGATCTGCTCTACCAACCACTACACAGGATTTATACTGTTTGGGTCAATGATCAACTATTGCTTCCACATCTCCTGTAAGGAAGCCTTATATTTTAGTTAATTCTTATATTCTTATTACAGAAGGAAATTCTTATACTCTCCAGAGAGAAGAAGAGGGAGAGAAATGAGTAATTTCAAATATGATCTGAAGGTCCTCTCCCTTGCCCTTTCTTGTACACATTGCTTTTTCAGTCACACGGAGCACCAAATCAGGAAAGAAAAAATTGCTAGAAACCAGGCATAGTGGCGCACACTTGAGAACCCATGTAGTCAGGAGGCTCAGATAGGAGGATGGCAAGTTAGAAACCAGCCTAGACATCTTAAGTAGTCCCTTTCTTGAAATAAAATTTTAAAAGGGCTGGCTGGAGGTATAGCTCAGTAATAGAATGCTTACCTAGCCTGCTCAAGTCCCTGGTTCCATCCCAAGTGCTGAAAAAAAAAAAAGAATTATTAACGCTAAGTTAAAAAAAAAAAAAACAGTGTACTCAGTCTGGTATTTTAGATTTTGAAAGAAGCTTTTAAAACCCATGGCACAGAAAGCAGTTTGAGAACAGAAGGATTTCAGTTCCAAGAGTATGGTCTTTATCAGTCTTAAAAGCCAAGCTGGCCTAGAACAGAAGACTGATGTTGAAGAAAAGGGCTTCACGTCCGATGGGCTCGGGGAGGAGATCACAGTGACCTGGTCTGGACATAGGGAGGGAAACTCAAAGCGGGGGAAGGAGTGGTGGATGCGGAGGAGAACCTGTGCTCTTTCCAGGGGTAGCCAACTACGATAAGCCATGCCCCCACGCCTTCCTCCACGGAGTAAGGAGAGCTGAGTGAAAGTAGCTGTTCAGAGTTGAGGATATCCAGGCAACAGCACTGCAGGGAGTCCTCAGAATCTCCCCCCAGGTCTTTCCAAGCATGAGCATAGTCAAAAGAACAATGGCAGAATTCGAGTATTCGGAGTTCAGGTAAGGATTGTACAGCAGGTTAAGGAGCAGAGACTCAGCAAACATCAAATGGAAACATCTGAGTTGGTACCAGTGAGCACAAACCCTAATGGTGTACAGGGACCAGTGGGAGCAGGTCCCCAAAACTTGTTCATACTGAACTCACTGGAACTTGGCTACAGCCCCAGAAATAAGGTGAAAAAGGGGAGCTCTAAAATAACCAAGCAATCCTTGGATTGGCCAAATCATGGGAAACACAGTTATACTGCTTTTACCAAGCAAGATGGTAGCTGTAGATAACCAGTTAAGAAAAAAGTTTTGGAAAACTGTACTACAAAACCAGTAAGAGTGCATGATATGAATACTTAGGCTTGAGTATCATCCCCACACTAACACATGTATCTTTTTTCTTTTTCACGTTTTTAGTTTTCCTCCAAAGCACCTAGAAAGCTTGGAGATGGTTTAAAAAATCATTAAAGGGCTGAATAATAATTATTTTGAAGTTAGCGGCTAATTTAACATTAAAACAATAAAACAACAATAACCTGAAATTTTATATTTCATGCAAAGATTGAGAGAGTGCTATGGTTTGGATCTTAGGGATCTCCCAAAAGCCAAATGTTAAAGTCTGAATCCCCAGCCTGTGGTGTTATTGAAAGGTGGCGGAACCTTTAGGAGGTGGGTTCTAGTGGCAGGAAGTTAAATCATGAGGGGTGTGCCCTTAAAAGGGATACTGGAACCCTAGCCTCTTCCTGTCACTCTCTCTCTTTTGCTTCCTGGCCACCATGAGATGAACTGGCCTCCTCTGCCATGTGCTCTGGCCATGGCATCCTGCATTATGACAGCTCCAAAGCAATAGGGCCAAGCAACCATCCACTGAAACTTCTGAAACTGTTTCCCAAAATAAACCTTTGTTCTTTTTGTTTCACGTATTTTGTCACAGCTATAAAAACCTGACTGATAGAGAGGACTGCAAAAATGAGATCTCCTTCCTTTTTCCTACAACCCATTCATTATTCTGCCTAAGAAATGGACTTTGTGTTTCAGGGAAATGAGGAGATACAATGTGTGGTTTGTAATGCCTTTTACGTTCACGGAAGTCACCACTTCAGCCTTGGAAATGAGAGAAGCCAACTTCACAGAGTTCTCTGAGTGCATAAGAAAAAATATCTATTCAGTTCATTATCACAGTCATGAAACAAAATATTACGAAGTAGAGGAAAGAGGGAAATCGCTCACATAGACATCACTTGAGGGGTAGAGAAAAATAGCAATACAAGTTGAACTACAGAGAATTTCTGTAGAAATTTGCCATGGATACTCTGCCTACATATACCACCTCAGTTATGAAAACAAAGCCTTGAAGAACCCTTAAAAATGTCCATTGAAAATCCAGCACAAGATTATAAGAAGTGAACCAGTCTGACGCTGGATGTTGATAGTGGGGGTGGTTGTGCAGTGTGTGGGGGCACAGGGTAGATGAGAACTCTCTGTTCCTTCCACTCAATTTTTCTGTGAATTTAAAGCTGCTCTAAGAAGTAAAGTAATTTTCTTTTTAATAGCTACCACACTAAGTCTGTAGAAATGAATAACAGATTGGTGGTTGCCAGGGGCTTGGAGGAGGTAGACAGGAGAGTGGTTGCTTAATGGGCACAGGGTATTTTTTATTTTTGTAAGAAAATTTTAATAGTACATGTTTGCAATACATAATGATTACATTTATCATGGGGAGTTGGTACATACACATAACACATTTTAATTCTTTTTTGAAAATCTCCTTTCCCTTGCTGCTCCTTCCATCTCATGGTCCCTTTCATCCCATGTGCAAAAGCTCTATCTCCACTTTTTTCAATTTTTTTCATCCCCAAACCCTCCTCTCCCACAAGCTCTTGTTCCCCTTCCCATCTGAAAAAGATCTTCCTACTTCCTTTTACCTTTTATTTTGCTCTTTATTTATATTTTGGATTTCTCATATAAGAGAAACTATGTGATAGTTAAGTCTTGTATGTCTAATTTGTTTCACTTAACATTTGGACTCAAGGTGCATCTGTTTTCCTACAAAGGTCTCAAGTTTATCCTTCATTGTGGGAGGGTAGTACTCCACTGTGTGTAAATGCTACATTTTCTTTATCCATTCATCTGTTGATGGACACATACAACAAGATTTAGTTATTATAAATTGTGCTGCTAAAAAATGGATATGCGTGCATTACAATAAACAAAATAGACAAACCTTAGCCAATCTTACCAGAAAAAGGAAAGAAAGGACACGATGCAATTAGAAATGAGATTAGAAATGAGAAAGGTAAATCAAAATCAGCACTAATGCAACCCAGATTAGCAACTATTTCACATACAAACAAATTGGAGAACTCAGAAGAAATGGATAGAACTTAGATACATATCCTTTACCAAACGGAACCAAAATAACTTAAAAATCCCAAACAATCCAATAACAGGCAATGAATTTGAGGCAATAATAGAAAACTTACCAACTATAAAAGTCCAAGTCCTGATTGGGCACTGCCAAAATTCTACAAGAACTTCAGAGAAGATCTTACACCCATACTCCTTAGACTCTTTAATGAAATCTGAAAGGAAGGAATATTCTCAAAGTCATTCCTAGAAGCTACCATTACCCTGATTACAAAGCCAGACAAGAATCCAACCAAGAAAGAGAATGACAGGCCTATTTCTTTAATAGATATAGAGGCAAAAAGCTTCAACAAAGCTTGGTGTGGTGGCACAGGCCTATAATCCCAGCACTCAGGAGGCCGAGGCAGAATTACTGTGAATTTGAGGCCAGCCTGAACTACATAGAGAGACCCTATCTCAAAAAAAGAAAAAGAAAGCCTCAACAAGATACTGGCAAAAAGAATGCAGCAAATCATCAAAAAGATCATACATCATGGCCAAGTAGGCTTCACCCCAAGAGTTCAAGAATGGTTCTACATACACAAATCAATAAATGTAATACATCACATAAACAGAAACAAGAAAAAAATCCACATGATCATCTAAGTAGATGCAGAAAAAGCCTTTGACAAAATCCAACATCCATTCATGATAAAAAAAAATCCTGAAGAAAATAGGTAACAAGGACCTTATCTTAATTTGATAAAAGCCATTTATGACAAACCTATTGCCAACATCATATTAAATGGAAGAAACCTGAAAGCTTTTCCTCTAAAATCAGTAACAAAAAAAGGATGTCCTTTTCCACCATTCTTGTACAGTGTAGTCCTTGAAACACTAACCAGAGCAATCAGACAAGAAAAAAAAATAAAAGGGATACATGCAGGAAAATAAGATGACATAATCCTCTATATGCAGTACCCAAAAAATTCCACCATAAGACTAATAGAATTAATAGCTAAATTCAGGAATGTAGCAGGAAACAAAATTATCACACAAAAAACAATAGCATTTCTGTACATTAATAATGAACTCATTAAGAAGAAAATCAGTATCTTGATACCATTCACAATAATATCAAGAAAACTTAAATACTTAGGAATTAACCTAACCAAGAAAGTGAAAGACCTCTACAATGAAAACTTCAGTACTCTGAAAAAGACCAAAAGAGGACACCAGAACATGGAAAGGTATCCCTGTTCTTGGATAGACAGACCTAATATAGTGAAAATGCCTACTTCCAAAACTGATACACAGATTTAATGTAATCCCAATCAAAATACCAACAGTATTCTTTGCAGATCTAGAGAAAGCAATCCTAAAATTCATGTGGAGTCAGAAGAGACCCAGAATAGCAAGAGCAATCCTGGAGGGGAAGCAAAGCAGGCAGCATCAAAATCCAAGATTTGAAACGGTATTACAGAGCTATAGTGATTAAAAACAGCATGGTACTGGCACAAAAACAGACAAGTTTGATCAATGAAATAGAATAGAGAAAGCAGAAATGACCCCAGGCACATTTGTCTATTTTATCTTTGGCAAAGGGGCCAAAAACATACACTAGAGGAAAGATAGATTCTATATTTTATTTTATTTTTTATTTTAAAGAGAAAAAAACAATAACAAAATATCAACAACAAAGACAAAAAGAAAACAACACAAAAACAATAAATTCAATACAGAATTTCAAAACAAAATGATAGAAATTAACAATGATTGTTATATTACATATTGTTATCTTAAATGAAGTTTCTCAGATTACCAGCTGTAAGAATGCAAGAAAGATAGACTCTTTAATAAGTGGTGCTGGAAATATTGTATATGCACATGCAGAAGATTCAGTCTAAACCCATATCTCTTACACCATGCACTAAACTAAAATCAAAATGGATTGAAGCTCTACATGTTAAAAGAGGAACAATCTGTTGGAAGATAAAATAGATAAAACCCATAAAGACATAGGTATAGGTAAAGACTTTCTGAATACAATGATACAAGAAATAGTGCCAAAAATCAACAAATGGGATGAGATCATATCAAATTGGAAAACTTCTATACAGCAAAGGAAACCTCCAACAGAGT